TAGATAGATAGATAGATAGATAGATAGATAGATAGATAGATAGATAGGTAGAGGTTTAATTATGGTTAACATCTCCCTCTTTCAAAACCAGCTGAAATTTGTCTCAGGGAAGAAATTTCCACCGATACCAAAGGCAGCCTTTCTTAGTGTCAAAACACTGAAAAATTAATGGAATGAAGAGCTGCCATAAACATACATGGCTGTTATTTAGAACAGTGAACCTATTAAAATTCAGTCCTACAATTTACAATGTTTCAAGTTTGACTTTACTTTTAATTATGCGAAAAACTTTATAGCTTCAATATAATCTACATGTTTGTTTAGCCTATTTGTTCTATAGAACTAACATTATAAAACTCATACATTACTGAATTAAAATTTCCATCATCCACAGCCAGCATTGCTAATATTAAGGAGTACTGGGAGATGTATTTAGCAACACTGAGAGGGCAACAAATTTTTGTTTTAGATGAATGAGCAATCCATATCTTTTCAGATGTGTCTGTAATACAGCTCCCAGCTTGGACTATTTTGCTTGAGTTCCAGGAATTCATAATTTGGCAATATTATGAGAGTTAGAATTTCCTCCTTCTGCTATTAAGTATTAGAAATCTATTCCACTGAAAGAAGTCTGTATAATCAAGCTCATTTATTACTTTCAGTTTTATAATTATTCGGATCCTTATTCAGAAAAGGAACATTCTGAATGTAAGGTACTCCTTTCACAAATCAGAATTTTAATCTTTTAATTATCCTATGAATATTTATCAAAAGGAATTACTTTACAGATAGGATAGAATTATAATCCCAGAATTCTCAATTAGCAAGAGGAAGCTTACTAGGAATTTTGGAATTATAGTTCAGCAGATTGTTGAAGAACTACTTTTAGATATGGATTTAGTCCTTTCAAAATCCCCAAATACAAATTTTGGTTTTACTACATCTGACCTTAGCCAAAAGGCCGAGGAGTGATTTTGGTTTTAATCTATTTTATTATTAATTTTATCTCTTTTTATTTTGCCCTACTCAACTCCTTATAAGCAGCTAACTTAACTCCTTTCAAAAGCAGCTAACTTGGCAATGAAGGACAAGATAATGAGGATGAAAATGGTATACATGTACATGAAGCATGAGAAGCTCCTAGGAAATGCTTAAAAGATGGGAGAAAATAACAGGAAAGAAGAAGACACTTACTCTGGTGTTTGCATGTTTCTCTTTTCCCTAAAAATAAAACAAAAGTTATGAATTAAATAATAGCATTGATATTTGGAATATTAAATCTAAATGCTGATGGAAACAGGGAATGATATGGAAATGCTGGCTTTTATTACAACAGAATCGTGATTCAAAAAAGCCATAAAAGAGCCAGAAATTGACATGGCTCCCAAAGGGCTGTCCCAGCAGCCACAAGCCAAGCTGTCCTGATACAGAAATAGTGGCCCTTCACAGAACACTTCAGCTAGGTCTGATCTGTGAGCTTCTGGCTACATACAAGAAGCTTGAATCATAACCTGGGCTTCATGTCCTTCAGGAGTATTTACCACAACTTTATGAAAAGGCATGAGCGAAGGCATTGAAAGAAATGAAAAAAAGGAATAACACAGATATAAACACATGTATATACAGGACAAATGATGGACTCACAAGGTCCCCAGACATGTGCATGTAAAATGGAAGAGGACTATGTTTTTTTCCTTATGACTGTAATAAAAAATGAATTTGATGATATGTTGCTTGCTGCTTTTTAGTAATGCTTTCTTTGGCTTTTATTGACCTAAAATTCAGTTCACAATCTCAAGAAAGTTTATTTTAATTATTAGAAAGACATTTTTTCCTACTTTTAATTCCAAATGAGACAAGTCAACTTTCTTTTTTTAAGAAGGATACCTTGTTTTGCGGTTTCTTAACAAATTAAGATTGCTAGCTTGAAAGATAATGGTAGAAACTTCATTTTAGTGCATGTTTTAGAAAATATGAAACACTGTTTTTATGAACTGAATTAAGTTGAGCCTAACGATCTTTTTTCATGTATAGAACTTTACAAAAATGCAGTCACATATTAATGCTTCAAAGTACTCACACTCCTTCCCGCCGGCAGCACATAATATAAGCAAGTATTAGAAAAAGCACCAGGGCAACTGCAGAGGGAACTGCCAAAGTAATGAGGAAGTCTGAATAATAATCTCTGCTTTTCAGATTCTTAGAAGGTGGCTTATATTCACCACCATCTGGTAATATGCCTTCTCCACGGATCACTTCTTGATAAGTAGAAATTTGCTGTGTTTTATCAACCTGATACCAAAAGTACAAAAAGCATTTTAGACTTCTTTAGAAAAGAAGTCAACAGCTTAACAAATATATACATTTGCTTATTACAAAATCTTAATCTTAATTTTTTGTTGCGGCCAAAGTAAGATACTGTAATCTACCCAATTACTTTTAATATACAGCATGAGGTCTGTTAAAAATATCATAGGAAATCAGTTCAAAGGCTCAAAGACCAGAGATTTGTACAAGAAAATTAATCAAGATAGAAATACTCTACAGAATTCACAGTTTGATCCAACAGCATAAAAAATAATTTCACTGGAGACCAAATTACAAAAATATTTGGAAGTCCTTGCATGAAACATAAACCCACAAGATATCAGGGCAATTTTTCTTCTGTTTTCATTTCCTTGTAGCTCAGATAGCAGAAGTAAACTAGATTTGGTTCCAATATATTTAGATTTATTCTATTTCTTAGATTTATACCCTGTTTGTTTTTGTTCAGGAGCAATAGACAACAAACATAGAGCCCACTCCACTTATTTTTCTCCATGTCAACCCTGTGAATTAATACAGGCTGACAAAGAATGACTGGCCCCAAGATGGACTTGCATCTAATATCTCTAATGCCAGCTCATCACCTTCATCTATGCACTACACTGATTACTCTGTTTAGATTTCTGGACTGTCGTAGCCTGATTCATCCTTACATTTAAGATACAGTGTAGTTTGTTTTTATCTTGATATACAAATAAGGATATAATGACTTGTTGAATACATTCTGATTTATAAATAATCTTGATATTATGTGTGGTCACTCCCTATGCATGAGCCAGGAACTGTAATTTAAAAGCATGCTAGTCAATTGTTAGATAATCTATTGCAACAACAAACCTATCCCAAACTTACAAATACAATGACTTTGTTAAACTTTGCCTATACTGCATGAAACAATTGCCCATTGACTGAGGGATAGAATCAAGATCACATGAAACATTAGTACCAATTTATAATGCCTTGGTAAGACCATACTTGGAATATTGCATTCAATTTTGGCTACCACAATATAAGAAAATGCTGAAACTCTAAAAAGAGGGCAAAGAAGAACAAGAAAGTTGATTGGGAGACTGGAGGCTAATATATATGAAGAACTGTTGCAGGAATTGGGTATGTCTAGTTTAATGAAAAGAAGAACTAGGAGTGACACAATATCAGTCTTCCAATATCAAAGGAGAAGATAATCTAATCTCTAAAGTGCCTGAAGGCAAAATAAGAAACAATTTGACAGAAACTGACCAAGGTGAGATTCATCCTAGAAAAAAGGAGTAATTGACAGTCAGAACAATTAATCAGTGAAGTTTGCCTTCTATCACTGCAGCTTTTAAGAACAGATTGGACAATCACTTGTCTGAAATGGTATAGGGTCTCCAGCTAGACAAGTCAATTGGATTATGGTGTTCACAGTTAGATTCTGGTGTTCACAGAACAATCTGTCACTGAATGTCCATAAAACCAAAGAACTGATTATAGACTTCAGGAGACATGGACAGGACCACGCCCCACTCATCATCAACGGAGAACGAATGGAAACTGTCCCTACGATCAGATTCCTTGGCATCCATATTTCAGCTGATATCTCCTGGTCCCCTAACACCAAGGCCATAGTGAAGAAGGCTCAGCAGCGGCTGCACTTCCTGCGGGTTCTCAGGAAGAACAATCTGGCTAAGAAGCTGTTGCTGGATTTCTATAAAGCCTCTGTGGACAGCACTCTGACATATTGTCTGGGTGTATGGTATGCAGGCTCCACAGCTGAGGACAGGAAAACTGTACAGAGGCTGATAAACACAGCTCAAAAGATCATTGGTTGCCCTCTGCCCTCCCTGGAAGACTTAGCCAGGTCCCACTGCCAAAGCAGAATCAAGGCCATTACAGAAGACCCCTCACACCCTGGCAATTATCTTTTTGACCTGCTGCCGTCTGGACGGCATTTTAGGTCAATAAAATCCCACACCACTAGACTAACAAATAGTTTCTTTCCCTGGGCCATCCGAACTGCAAATAAACACAAAGTCGACTACCTCATTAAGATGTGAAAAGATGTGAAATCTCAATACCCCATTTAGATGTATAATAACATATTACAGTACAATCCATCTCTTGTGTATTATACTTGGCTAAGCGTTACAGTCAGTGTTGGATGTATATTTTGTGTATATTTGTAGATATTGTATTCTCAAATTGAAAATGGAGACGTGGGTCTTTCTTATCTTCATTTTTAAGTGCTTTGGTTTTATTGTATTGCGAACAGTTGCTGGGGTGCATCCACAGTTTTGTTGTACTTGTACAATGACAATAAAGTTCTTCTAATTCTAATTAGAAAACCTCCAAGAACCTTCCAACTTGTATTCTATTATTCTGATTTGGTTCAGAAAAACAGATGGATATAAAGGCAGAAATGCTAGGCTTCCTTTCCCAACATCCCCTGAAAACATAGAACATCTTCAATATCCTTTGAAGATCCGATCATTTCACCAAATCTGTAATTCTTGAGGATCCAAGCACTTCCTAGAAAGATGAGCTTAGCCTTGCAAAATAAGGAGACTGTTAAAAAAGCTCTTGCAGACTCTCAACACTGTTTTATTGAAGCCCGATGTAGCTGATGAAAGAATGTTCCAGTAATGCTGACAAAAGCATAGGCTTTCTCTAGAAATATGTGCAGTAGCATGTTTTCCTGCTCAAACTGAATATTTACCCGCTGACTTTTACTTCCTGGAATATGGTGAGCTGAAAAGCCAGAAATAAGGATCCATCGTTTCTGGCATGCATTTCCAATTATGTCATAGTTATTTCCCCTACCCCCGCCAGGAAACATGACCTATTAAATGAATGGGTGGGTGAAGAGCTGAAGTCTCTCAAGAGAGGCTGTGCAGGGGTTTAGGTATTATAATCTCTATAGATTCAAATAACTGGTTTGCAGCCATTAAAATGGTATGTAATAGCAGCACTGTTTTGATTTAAAAGGTTTTAATTCCTTTTGATCAATATATATATTTCATCCCTGAACACACAATCACAGGTGAAGTATGAATAGGATATACAGGCAAGGGTGGGATCCGACAGGGTTAACTACCAGTTCAGTCATTTACGAGGTTCGGTGATTTATGATGTGCGTCCCTGCACGCTGCAAGTGGGCGCCTGTAAATCGTCATCAGCATGCTGCGTGCAGAGAAGCAGCCTTTCAAAAAGCCCTTTTTTCCTGCTTTTTTAACTGCAGCTGTGCCTCGCATGGCAGCTGAAGTTGAAAAAAATCAGGAATTAAAGGTCAGGCAAGAGCCCGGGTGGGCAGGTGGGCAAAAACATCAGCAGACATAGAACCGGTTCTATGTCTGCTGCTCTTCAGAGCTACCGGTTCTACAGAGGTGGACAGAACCGGTAGAAACCCACCCCTGTATACAGGTAGTCCTCAACCTAACAATCATTCATTGGTGACCATTCAAAGTTGCAATGGTGGTAAAAAAAGTGAGTTTTGACTGGTCCTCTGACTTATGACTGTTGCAGCATTCCCACGGACAAATCATCAAAATTGGGCACCTGGCAACCAGCACGTATTTACAAGAGTTGCAGAGTCACAAAGTCATGTGATCACCATTTGTAACTTTCCCAGACAGTTTCTGACAAGCAAGTCAGTGGGTGAAGCCGGATTTACTTAATGGCTACATGATTCACTGAAAAACTGCTATGGTTTGTTTAACAATCCTGGCAAAAAGATCATAAAATCATGCACAACTTATTGAATAACTTGTTTAGGGGGAAAAAAACCTTTGTGGTCATAAGCCGAGAACTATTTATAATAAAGCCTTACATTGACCAGGTTCAAACTTTTATCCAAAATTCTTGAATGTAGCTGGTTGAGTATTTGCAAAGAAGTCAACAAGGAAGCCTGTAAGGCTTTAAACCAGGGGTCTCAAACTCAATTTACCTGGGGGCCGCTGGAGGCAGAGTCTGGGTGAGGCTAGGCCGCATAAGGGATTCCACAAAAAACGTTGTTAAAAAAATATCCTCAAATGTCATCAACAGTTAATGATTTCTCCAATACATGAACTGTCCTGAACACATGAATGGAACGTTGAATGAAGATCATGAACAGTTCCTCAGAACATGGCTTCTCCAGCTTACTCCTTGCTGCCAGAGACTTGACAACGCTTCCCCTCACATATCTGAGCCACATTTGACTTGAGAGAGGAGGCACTTGAGACCCTCAGTATGGCTTGAAGATGATCATCAGTAAGTCTGGACCTGTACTTGGACTTGTTAAAGTTCAGGGTGAAGAAGAAGCCAAGACGAGGAACGGCGGGCGGGACTTCCTTCAGAGGTCCATTCCCCCTGCGGGCCGCACTAATATTATACTTTCATATCATGGTGGGGGCCACAGGATATCGTCCTGCGGGCCGCAATTGGTCCGCAGGCCACGAGTTTGAGACCCCTGCTTTAAACAAATTAGGAAAGAGAAAAACTCCAGAAAGCAATGGCAAGCGTCTTCCATATTGCTGCTAAGAAAACTGAATGCCAATGAAATTACTGGAATGAGTCTCAATTTATGGATGTCTACATATTTAACTTTTAAAACCTGTTGTACCAACACTGTATTTTGTATCTTTTTTTTTACCAATAGGAAAATATATCACAAATGCTGCTAAAAGCATTACAAGCTGTAATTTTCTTATTCTACAATAAGTAAAGGCTTTTCTTTGAACAATAACACTTAGTTGTAAATAAGTGTAAGAACATAAATAGCATAATAGACCATTAGCCTATTCTTCCTGGCTGTCATCAAAAGAAGCTGGGTGATCCTGACCAACAATATCATATCTGCACTGGAGATGCAACAAAGGAATTTTGCTTTTAAAAAAAAAAGAAGAAGAAGAAGAAAATTACTCACTATACATCCATGTGTCTATGTACAATTATTTTTCTCTGACTGCTTTCAAGTACTGTGTATCAAAGCCATTTATTATCCAAATTTAAAATCTGTTTTACTTCTACTGGGGAACTGGTTAAAAGCAAAGATGCAAATAATGAAACAGTATGCTAAATGAAAGCCAGTTTGGTGTAGTGGTTAAGGCATCAGGCTAGAAACCAGGAGACTGAATTCTAGTCCTGCCTTGGATAATAGGCCGGCTGGGTGACCCTGATCCAGTCACTTTCTCTCAGCCTGGAAAAGAAGCAATGAAAAATTACTTATGAAAAATCTTCCCAAGCAGGGACTTGTTCAGGCAGTCTTCAAGAATCAGATATGACAATTGAAAATAAAAAACTTATTTGAAAAAAAAAAAGAATCGGACATGACCTAACATTAAAATGAAGAATAACCATAGAATTAACAAGCACAATAAATTTTTTTTCACTAAGTTAGATTTTCATCAGTCACAAAATGGCATACTGGGGACAAGCACCATAAATTTTCCAAGCAGGGACATGGCAGAGCATTAAGGCTGCAAGTAACAGAAATTATGTCCATCCCATGAAATTAATCACATAATATTTTAAACATTGAGCAGCTATGTTTTTTAAAATATCTCCATTCAATAACTCACCAAAGAAATTTTACACCAGTCTATGTGAAACTGAGTACGAAACTTTTTATCACAAGTTATTATAGGTTCCATTTCTTGACTGCATCTCAGCTGATTTTGTGGGTTTTCTACTTCCCGTAAGCAGGAGGAGAATGTAACATCTGCACCAACCATAACATAGACACTGGGGGAAAGAAGTGGAAACAGTTTTAGGATAGTCATTGACAATTTTTAAATTAACCATTTGTTTCATTTCCTTTCTGTGAATGAAAATGGGTTCCAGTCTTAGCATTTTGACCACTGTTGTCTAATTCATATTTGCTCTCTTTTATTATTTCCTTCCTATTAAAATATGGGTGTGATTTTATTTAGATAAAAGATTGAACTAACATTATTCCATTCTTGGCCCTAGTGGAATTCTAATTTTCTCCTACATCTGCTGTTTTCTCAAATTTCTATAGATCTACTCTAGCCTCTTACTATGCCGTCTTCTATCTCCCTGATAGAATTTTTAACACAAGAGGGGGAAAAAAGGGCTTTACAATCTGCCTAGGTAGATAAGAGAAATATGTTTTTGTTGTTTTATCCTATTGTAATTTCATATATGAAGTTCAAGATAGATTTCATAGGGATTTCCTTACATCTCTGTAACACAGATTGGGCTTTAAGAGAGTAGTTCAAAACTAACCAGTGTACTTCCAAGGCGGCAAATGGCCTGAACTTCTTTTTTCTAGTCTTAAGTCTAGCACCATAATTTAGTATTTTTAGTATTTATTTGATTTGTCAATCGCTTACAAGATACAGGTATAAGAATAAATATAGTTTTGAATACATGAGATAGATACTTATAAGAAAAATAAAAAACAAGAGGACAGGGACGGTAGGCACAATTAGTGCGCTTATGCATGGCCCCTACAGGCCTCTTAGGAAGGGGGTGAGATCAATAGTAGACAGTCTAAGGTTAAAGTTTTTGGGGTTTGGGGAAGAAACCACAGAGTCAGGTAGAGTATTCCAGACATTGACCACTCTGTTGCTGAAGTCGTATTTTCTGCAGTCAAGTTTGGTGTGGTTAACCTTGAGTTTGTATCTATTGTGTGCTTTTGTATTGTTATGACTGAAGCTGAAGTATTCATTTACAGTTAGGACATTGCAATGTATGATTTTATATACTATATTTAGATCGGACTGGAGGTGGCGTAGTTCTAGGTTTTCTAACAGACAGATTTAACAGATTTAACAGATAATCAGAGTTGGAAAGGACCTTGTAGGTCATTTTGTCCAACCCCCCACCCAAGCGGGAGACCCTACACCATTTCTGACAAATGGCAGTCCAATCTCTTCTTGAAAGTCTCAAGTGATGGCGCTCCCACAACTTCCGAGGGCAAGCACAACTTCCATTGGTTGATTGTTCTCACTGTCACAAAGTTTCTCCTTATTTCCAGGTTAAATCTCTCCTGGTTCAGTTTCCATCCATTATTCCTTGTCTGGCCTACAGGCGCTTTAGAAAATAGTTTGACCCCTTCCTCCCTGTGGCAGCCTCTCAAATATTGGAAGACCGCTATCATGTCTCCCCTGGTCCTTCTCTTTACTAGATTAGCCAAGCCCAGTTCCTACAACCGTTCATTGTATGTTTTAGCCTCCAATCCCCTAATCATCCTGGTTGCTCTTCTCTGTACTTTTTCTAGATTCTCCAAAAAAATTTTATGAGAACTTCCAGTTTGAGCTTCTTCAGCGACAGACCAAAACCTTGTCTCTGCAAGGCTTCGATCCGTGCTCGCTGCTGGAGCGCCCCGAGCCGGCTGGTTTCGGGGCTAAACCACCCCGTAGAGGTGGTGAAGAAGGGGGAGACTGCCTGCAGGGTTGAGGAGAGCCGCATCTCTCCTCCCCAGCTGGCCATTACTCCCTTTCCCGAAGGCGGTTGTAGCGGTGGTCAGAAATGGCCACCACAAAGAAGAACTCGACCGGAAAAGAATGTGCAGGAGGAAGATAAGAAGAGAAAGTTTTGGTTGACCGGGTCAAACAGCAAAAGCAACAAATAAGATACCCTGGAATTGAAACTATTAAAAAAAAAACACAATAACATTGTTCCCTAAGAAGATTTTTAAGCTGCGAAGGAGAGAGAAAAGGGAAAAGATTTGTTTTTGTTTTTCCTCCTTTTCCTATACTGACAGCTAAGAGACTTAGGCAAGAAATTGGAAAAAAATCCACTTTGACATTAATAGGCATTTAATGCTGAAAATAAAAAGTCAAAGGGATAATAAAGATTTCTGGGTAATCAAAAACTTTTGAAAATAGGAAAGGAAAGAAAAAGAATAAAAGGGCAGGATCTGGAAGGGAGGAGACTGCCTGGAATTAAAAAGAACTTACAGCAAAATCTCAACAAGACTTCCAAAAGATACATTTTAACTGAAATATCGCAACAAAAACCCCAGGAAGAGAAAGTGGAAAAAGAAATAAGAAGAAATAACTTGGGACTATTTGGATTACTTGATGATTTCTGGATTTTTGGTTATTGTATTTGAATGACTAAAATCAACTGGGTGGTTGTTTAAAACTGTTTAAAATGGCTCCACTTTTAGAAGAACTGAAAATGGAACTTAAAAAGTACAAAGAAGATACACAAGAAGGGAGGTGTTCTTTTGGCTTCATATTTCAGTTTTTAGAGATGGAGATTTGGAATTATGAGAAACAACAAGAAATGCCTGCAGAACAAGAAGATTGCGACAAAGAAGAAGCCATCTTTAATGAACAAGTAATCTTAGGTGGGGAAAAAAAGGAAAGGGGGGAAAGAGAATGGAAAGTTTAAGATTGGGAAAAACAACTCCAAAAAAAAATATAGAGTGAAAAATAAGTATAAAATCAGAAAGCAACAGAAGAGGGAAATGCAGAAGAGAGAATTAGAACTAGAGAGACAAGGGGGTAAAAAGGGGAGGGAGAAGATGAGAGGGAAGAAAGAAAGGAAAATAAGTTATAAAGGACAGAAGCAAAATATAGAGAAACAAGGCCTATTTAGAGATAATGGGTGAAAATTTAATGGAAAAAGAGATTCTGCAAAGGTACATAAGATAGTATTGTTATATTAGAAACAGAAATAATTTTAGAAAACATGAAACAATGTATGATTAAAATGTTTGATAAAATAGCTATCGTAATTCAGTGGAATGCCTGTCAATAAATAAATGTAACAAAATGAATATTTAATGATTTACAAAACATACGTGAAGAGAAATAAGGGAAAAATTAATTATGGAGATTATATGTGTTTTTAAGGAAGTATGATATTCAATTGAAAAGAAGTGTTAAAGATGTTAAGATTTTAATGATTATTAATGATAGAACTGAATTGGAATGGAAAGAGGGTTTATAATTACATATATTTATAATCTTTTTTTTTTAAAAAAAGAATATAATGTGTATTATAAGAATGTACCAAGCAGAATTCGATTGGAAGTTATATATTATGTATTATATTGAAGGTCATAACCTTAAGGTATATACTGAAGTTTAATAAGAGTTGAATGGATGTAATTAAAAGATATAAAGGTGTCATACTCCAATTAGTAACTACAGGAGAAAATTTGTTTAATGAAAAAAAGATAATATGAAATTGAAACAGAACAGACAAAAGTATAAATATAATGATTTGAATTGAGATGAGATAATCAAAATAAAATTGAGAAAATTAAAAGAGGGGAAAAACTATATAGAAAATGTAGAATAGTATAAGATATGGAATACAACACAAAAAGGAGCATGAAATTGAGTTTTGTGTCTGTATAAAGAAGTTCAACCCGGGACCATGCTATTTTCAAAAAAGATGTTTTACTTGTATTTTGTATGTGTGAAAACCCAAATAAAACTTTATTAAAACAACTTAGGATTGTATTAGCTTTTTTGCCTGTTGCTGCACACTGCTGGCTCATATTTAGCTGGCTGTCCACTAAGACTCCAAGATCCCTCTCACAGTTACTGCTATTGAGCCTGGTTTCACCCAGTCTATATGGGTACTTTTGGTTTTTCTTGCCTAAGTGTAGGACTTTACCTTTCTCTACACTAAATTTCATTTTGTTAGATATGGCCCAGTGTTCTAGTCTGTGAAGATCCATCTGGATCTTGAGCCTATCTTCTTGAGTGATAGCTATTCCTGACAGCTTAGTATCATCTGCAAATTTGGTAAGTTCCCCTTCTATTCCCTCCCTCGTTTTCTCAGTCTAGAGTTTCAAGTCTGGTGGCATAAGGTATTCTGCAATGAGTACAGGAGTGGAGAATTCTTCTTGTGAAATATTTCTGGACCTTTTCAATTGTGTTAATATCAGATACATGATATGGGTTCAAGACTGATGAGCTGTATTCAAGTATAGGTCTAGCAAATGTTTTGTATGCTCTAGTTAGTAGTGTGATATTACCAGAGAAGAAGCTACGTAGAATTAGATTAATAACTCTTAATGTCTTTTTGGCTATGTAGTTACAGTAGGCTCTAGCACTTAGATCATTTGAGATGAGTACTCCAAGGTCCCTGACAAAGTCATAATATGATTTGTGTTACTGAATGACCAATTTTCTCTACCAATTAGTGGTAGGAATTTTTGGCTGTCCAATCTATTTCAGCCAGCATGGCTCATGCTGATAGATAACAAGAGTTGCAATTTAACAACAAGAACAAGAGGTATCTAGGAGTCCTAGAGGACAATCACTTAATACAAGCCAGCAGTGTGCTGCAGCAGCCAAAAAAGCCAATGCAGTCCTAGGCTGCATTAATAAAGGGATAGAATCAAGATCATGGAAAGTGTTTATGCAACTCTATAATGACTTGGTAAGATCACACTTGGAATATTGCACCCAGTTTTGTATGCCACCATGTAAAAACATGGTGACACTCTCGAAAGAGTACAGAGAAAAGCAACATAGATGATTAGGGGACTGCAGGCTAAAACATATATAGAATGGTTGCTGGACTTGGATGTCTAGCTTAATGAAAAGAAGGACTAGGGATGACATGACAACAGTGTTCTAATATCTAAGGGATTGTCACAAAGAACAGTGAGTCAACCTATTCTCCAAAACCTGAATGCAGGACAAAGAAGCAATGGATGGAAACTAATCAAGGAAAAACAACCTAGAACTAAGGAAAAATTTCCTGACAGAACAATTAATCAGTGGAATGACTTGCCTCCAGAAGTTGTGGATGCTTCAACAGTGGAAGTTTTTAAGAAGAGATTGGACAACCATTTGTCTGAAATGGTAGGAGGTTTCCTGCCTGAGTAGGGGATTGGACTAGAACAGGGGTCCCCAACTCCCAGGCTGTGGCCCACTACTGGACCATGGCCTATTCTCAACCAGGCTGGCACACATGCGTGCACATGCAACTCAACTCCCATGGGTGGCAGGTCAGCGCACACATGCATGCATGCACAGCTCACCTTGCAGTCATGCTGCGTGTGCATACGTGTGCATGTTGACCCACCCCTTGCGCAAGTCAAGCTGTGTACACATCTGCACGCCAGCCTACTGGTCACACTGTTCTGATCACCTCTCCCCACACCAGCTCGGCCACCAAGCTGCAAAGATGGGGACCACTGAACTAAAGACTTCCAAGGTGCCTTCCAACTCTGTTATTCTATTATTCTGTTAACTTCTGGAGGGGTCCAGCTCTGTTTCCATTCAAATTTATTTTTTAAAAATATGAACAAAATGTATAACCCAATTGGCCCAACAACTAGAAATGCATACACACCCCATAATCTAGATATGCAAGAAAAAAATATTGTAGAGATGTGTTATATAAATTTATCAGGGGAAATATGTACAATGTGAATGAAACTGCAAAAGAGCCTTGTATAACGGCCTAGCTAAGTTGTTGCATAACAGGGCTGTCAAACTCCCAGTCTGTGGACCGGATGCAGCACATGCTGGCCAGGGCTTTACACTTCATGTTTCTGCTGTCTATCCACAGGGCTGCAAGTGAGCTTTATGTGTCTGAACGGTCAAACATCTGGCAACTCCAAATCTCAACCAACAAATGCTCTGTACTACTACATTGGTAAAAAAAAATCAGTACACCAAATGCAAGCTAGGCAGATATGACCTCGTTGATGATCCTCACTCTATCAAGGACCTTGGAGTTCTCATATCAAATGACCTAAGCACCAGAGCTCACTGTAACAGCATTGCCAAAAAGGCATTAAAAGTTGTAAATCTAATCTTACGAAGCTTCTCCTCTGGAAATATCGAATTGCTAACTAGAGCATACAAAACTTTTGCCAGACCAATACTCGAATACAGCTCATCAGCTGGAATCTGCACTGCATATTGGACATTAATACAATCGAGCAAGTCCAGAAGTATTTCACGAGAAGAGTACTACACTCCTCTGCTCGCAACAGAATACCCTATATCGCCAAGCTTGAGATATTGGGCTTGGACAACCTTGAACTACACCGCCTACGGTTAGACTTAAGCATAGCACACAAAATTATCTGCTACAATGTCCTACCAATCAATGATTACTTCATCTTCAACCACAATTCAAGAGCACACAACAGATACAAACTCAATGTAAACTGCTTCAAACTTGATTGCAGAAAGTACAACTTTAGCAACAGAGTGGTCAATGCCTGGAATGCACTACCTGACTCTGTTGTTACATCCTCCAACCCCCACTCCTTTAACCTCAAACTAACTACTATTGACCTCACCCCATTCCTCAGAGGTCTGTAAGGGGCGTGCATAAGTGCACCGTTGTGCCTACCGTCCCTGTCCTATTGTCCCCATTTATTCGTACCCATTTTATATCAATATATATTTTATATTAATATATATTACATATGAAGAGCCTCTGTGGTGCAGTGGTTAGAGTGCAGTACTGCAAGCTACTTCTGCAGCCAGCTGCCTACAATTTGGCAGTTCAAATCCCACCAGGTTCAAGGTTGACTCAGCCTTCCATCCTTCCGAGGTGGGTAAAATGAGGACCCAAATTGTTGGGGGCAATATGCTGACTCTGTAAACCGCTTAGAGAGGGCTGTAAAGCACTATAAAGCGGTATATAAGTCTAAGTGCTTATTGCTTATTTCCTATATTCTTACTCATGTTTATACTTATATCTATTATCTTGTAAGTGATTGACAAATCAAATAAATAAAATAAATAAATAAATAAAGTGAGAAATATACTACAAGGGTGATTACAACTTAAGGATAAATATTAACATTCATTATAAATGGTAGATTCTAATAATCTATAATAGTGATTCTCAATGTCAGACACTTTTAAGATGAGTAGACTTCAAATCCCAGAATTCCACCAGCCACAGTTCAAGTCCACAGATCTTACACTAGCTAAGGTTGAGAAACATGATTTGCTTAATGAAAAATAAATTAAATAATGGACAGTTTAAGAATGCAGGACTATTGATCTCTGAAGCTATTCCTCTTCCCACCCTTCCCCATCAAGAAGTTGCAAAAATAAATTATATTAGGCATTGTTTTACTTTTTTCACTCTTGGCAAGCAGATAGGTCTTTTTGAACCTAATGAGCTCCCATACTATAGACTGGAGGTAGAACTCTGGATAGGAATTCAAACTGGGGAGAACTAGTAATATTCGTCTTGATGAGAGTAGTTAAAAACCACCTGAAGTATCCATTCCACTTTGGAGTCAGGTATCATGCCAAGGCAAAACATCATCCAATTAAAATTAAAATCATCAGGTCTTTTCTTCCTGCAGCTTTAAGTTTTAAAGAATAATTCCTTCTAGCAGAGAAAGATGGATTAGACCAGGAGTTTCCAAACTTGGCAACTTTAAGACTTGTGGACTTATGCTAAAAAATATTGGTCTAAAATCTACATGTGTTTGGAAAAAATGACAAAAAAGCATATAGACTTGAAACCAGAGATATTTTTATTGGGAATTTTACCTGAAATATATAGTAAAGAATTGAAATTCCTGATTGTAAATGTATTAACGGCGGCTAGGATTGTATTTGCCAAAAACTGGAAAAATACCATTACAGGAGGAAATCATTAAGAAAATATTGTAATGTGCTGAAATGAGTAGATTGACATTTGAAATCAGAGAACAAGATGATAAACAATTTTATAAAATTTGGGATCTATTCTATCAATGGTTAGACAATAAAACATGGCAATGAAATATGTAGATTCTTAGAAAATAATAAATATATAAAGATGTATTCTTTTCTTATTATATCTACAAAATGATTGTAGCATAGATTTGAGATGATAATATGAACTGTCATAAAACAAATTAAGTAAAATATGGATTATTTCTTAAAACATGAATGAATAAAAGTATAGACAAATGATTAACAATGATATTAATGTATTTAATATTTGATTGAAAATATGAGAATATATACAATGTAATTGTAATTGAAGACTACGAAATGGAAGCACAAAACAATTTGTAAATCAACCGACACACTGTATGTATATATATGGAAGATGGCTTGATGTTTTTATGTTTTGTTTGTCTATGTTTGTCTTAAAAACCAATAAAAAAAAAAAAGACTTGTGGACTTCAACTCCCAGAATTCCTCAACTAGTCATGCTGGCTGGCAATTCTGGGAGTTGAAGTCCACAAATCTTAAAGTTGTCAAGTTTGGAGACCCCTGGATTAAATTCACAAAACAGGAATTAATTATTCATTAGTCCAGATGCCACTACTGCTTTTTACTGAATTGTTTTTTAAAAATAGATACTAAACAACTTAATAAATAATTGCTACTGCAGAAATATAACTTCTTACCCTTCTTTCATGTCATTAATAGGAAGGGGCACTCTGCCTCCCCTATCAAGAGCAGATGTGATGTTTATGGCATTCAGGCGCTCAGGCTGCCATACGTTTTTCACGGCTCCAAGGAAGTCTCCAAGAACCTCACTGGCCAACATTTCCTCTACATTCATGTTTTTAATAAAGAATTCTGCTTGATATGGCAAAAGAAGATCTAGTTGCCAAAAAAAAAAGTAATTGTGCCTTAGACCCTTTTTAAATTTACTAAAAGAGATGGACTAGTAAATCATAAACACAGGTAATCCTCAAATTACAACCACAACTGAGCCCAAAATTTGTGTTGTTAAGCAACACAGTTAAGTGAGTTTGCCCCATTTTACGATCTTTCTTGCCACAGTTGTTAAATAAATGACTGCTGCCTTTGCCTGTCAGAAAGTTGCAAAATATGACCCAGGGATACTGCAATCATCATAAATATGAATCAGTTGCCAAGTGTCCAAATTTTGATCATGACCCTGGGGACGCTGCAATGGTCATAAGTGTGAAAAATGGTCATGTCACTTTTTTCAGCACCATTTTAACTTCAAATGATAACTAAATAAACTGTTGTAATTTAAGGATACATGTATAGTAGTATGAATGTCTTTTTATTTGCATGAATAAATGTAAACATGGCTAAGAAGGTCTTAGTCTTTTAAGTGGGGTTATAAGAGCCAGAGTGCTACATCCCATGGATTGATTATTTGTGCTGGCACCTCTCGTGCACTGCTTTTGAACCAATACTGAAAGGTCACTACATCATTCTCATTTAGTTTATTTATTTAGCATATGGCACATGTTAGCCAGGTATCATTAAGGTGGCTGGCTGCTTCTGTGAAAGGAAATTTTTGGGCGGTGTTATTTACCTGTGGAACACCTGAATGCCAGTAGGCAGTTGGGGAGGCTCCTTTCTTGTCCCTCCATAGTTTATTCACTCACAGGAATCGAGCTGCCGAGCTACCAGCCTCAGCAGTGCACAAGCCCAGGGTCTTACCACGTGAGCCACCACGGCCCCCTCTCATTTAGTAATAGGCCATGACTCACATAATTTGGATTTAACCAATCATAGCATATTCAGCTTTGGCAAGAGTCAGTCACTCCTCAGTCCAACCTACCACATGGGTTTGGGGTTGTGGGGAAATAAGTGGAGGAAAGAGTACTAGGCATGTTCACTACCTTGAGTTATTTTTAAAAATAAAGGAGGGGTATAAATGCATAAAAATAGTGTGCAAATGCAAACTGATACTATATCAGAGAAATTATTATATGATTTGACAAGACAAGGTATCAAATATCCTTTTCCCATTACTGTTGCCTTTAATTATTTAGTAAAGCTTAACCGATTCATATTATTTATCAACTGAATCACCCAAAATGCTGAGATAATTCTTGAAGACATACCTTCTGCTGACATTATATTAATAATTAAATTATGTCTTGCTGTCTCAAAGGTACGTCTGTTATAAGCAGTAATCTAATAATGGGAAAAAAGTAAAATGGTAACTAATTATTACATTTTTAAAGGATAATATGATAAACAATAATAATGGTTCTCTTAAATTTGCCACAAATAAGGTTTTTGTTTAATCTTTTACTGAAAAACAGAAAATCACAGAACAAGCTATGTCAGGGATAATATCATCTACTCGCCTTTCAGTTATAATGTGACTAAAGAAATTTTGAGAACTATGAGACATTCCAGTACTGATGGCTGTTTCTATCAAAATGAATTTTTTTTTAAATAAACATTCTGCAAAGTAAGTACCTCAATTATAGTTGGCTTGCCCATGTTTTCTACAGTTGGTGACCCATAGAGCACACCATCACTATATGGTGTTCTTTGGATGTAGCGCAACCAGCCAGGTCTATCAGGGTAACCCATTAGGTTTGTATTAAATGTTATGGGATCATTATTTATCTCACCTGGATAAATAGAGACAATCATGTTAATATACAATTTAATCATTTATACACCATATTTTTATGTTCATTCTAATAGTAAAATCCTACTATTTAGATCCTCAATAATTTAAGTCCTATTTTCATTATGGTAATAAACCCCAAAAAGTATAGCTATAGTTCTTTATAGTTTTGGCCAACAATAAGGAACTATTTGAAAACAAAATGAAAAATGGAATATTCAGCAACCACCATTAACTCCTAATACTGCATAAATACCAGTATAAATACTAAATTGGACCTAATTAAGTGGAAATTGCAGCTTAGATGATGTTGTTTTAATTAACTGTGAAGGCTTTGCTGTATCCCTCTACAGGAACAAATATTAAGGTTAATATTTGGTTAAGAAAGTATGTTTGTTAATTTTACCATAATAGTCTGATGTGATTTCATTGAAACAATAATAATAATAATATGTATCCATGTATCACAATAGATATTTTTTATAAAATGAAAATTGGAAAAGAGGTGATAGCCATGAAAAATTGCAGGCTTTTTAATGCTACAATCATTCATGACACATGTAAGTTAGTGTAAAGGCCAAAAGATTCATGATGCTAAATGTGTCAGTTGTAAATCTAATCAGAAAGAGACAGCAAGAGAGATTATATTTTCACATCAAATTAACAGTGCCTCTAGCACATTAAATATTTTCACACCTCCATTCTTCTCTCTCTCTGTTATAGCCAATAGCTTTTGAGCTAACATTTTTGTAGAGAATGTGATGAATATGTGATCTTCATAAAGACAAGTTAAAATGGAAATTGTATTTATATGCCTTTACAATTGTAAACATTTCTTACCATGCTTTGAATAAGGAGGAAACTCTCCCTTAAAATATTCTCTCTCCAAAACATGAACAAAGAGAACTCCAGCAGAAGGATAAACATTTCGTTCAGAGTGCACCTTAGAGAGAATTGTGTACACTGGAAAGCAGGAGAATAGAACACAACATGAAAAAAAATAGATCCATGGAAAATAGTGATATATGTTTATTAAAGCAAACTGAAATGCAATACAAACCACAAAATATTTGTTGCCGTTTTTAAATATCTTCACAGCTCTTCTTCAAGTATGTGGTACTGAACAATTTAGAATTTTAATCTTTAATTTTATAAAATCCAAGAAACAATTTACAAGTCTTTGTATGTAGCAAAACATGTCATTCAAAGCAGCTACATCTTTTGACTAGTTTGATAAAAAGAAGAAAAGCATTTTCATGGTACTGTATTTCTCAATTCATGTAGTCATTATAAAATGACTGTTATTGCAATCAACTTTATTTCCAAATATGCTTGTTACTGCACTCTTAGTATGTTAAAAGTAAACAACACAGAGAAGTGGAACAAAAGGAGGGCTCTGTTTGAAAGAACTTTCAGAAAGCCTGTAATTTATGGCTAAATGCATTGTTTAGTCCTGACAATCCTCTTGTTAAAAATATTTTATGATCAATCTTTCAGGAACTATAGATAACTGATAACAAATGCAACTTGCATTCCTTCATGAGTTCCAGCTCATCAAAAGCATCTCTCAACTTCAGAGGAAATGGTTGGGGGCACAGTTCTGATCGCTACCACTTAAAAAGGCATATATATCCCACTGTTTTTAAGCCTGCATTATAATCAGTATGAATAATAAGCGTTAAGTGCACTAAATCTATGGTTATACTTTATTAAAACTCTGTAAAATTTCATATATGAATATATATCTATGAGAACTTTACATGCAAGTTTTATATTGCTTTTATTTCTTCTCTTTTCAGTATTATTTTTCTTGGTTTTTTTTTAAAAATAATCTAAATAGTCTAAATAATAATCTAAATAAATAATAATAATAATCTATATCTGCCTATCTCAGGTTCTTGGGAAGGACTAAGTAAATAGTGACAAAGCCAGTCTGAATATCTGGCTGACTGTGTAAAGAACACATTAATAATCTATATAAAATTAAAAAAAATAAATGCAGTTTTTAAAAAAAGAAACTGTGAGGAAAAGTTTAATGGAAAAACATTCTTTAACTTTTTCTCTCATTGAAATGTCTTATCAATCAATCTAAAATCATTCATGTAATAAATATTCCAGTGAAGTATTTCTCAGTAATTCAACATAAATAATGTGGAACTATTAAATTAAATTCTGATTTTTGTCCACATCATGACTATAGTATCAACTGCATCAGCATTTCATAAACTTCTTTTATCATTTGTTCACCTCTATTATATTAAGACTGAGTTTATATTTTAGAACTGCTACTTCATAAAAGAGGACAAAATTTTAGTTGGCTTCTAAAAGTTCAACAATAAAAGTTACTAACAAGTGGTAGTAAAAAGCTAGTACAATTAGGTTATTACATTCAACAAACCTGGAAGATAATACCTATTTTCTATTCATTGTGTCTTAAGATATATGTAGATAACCCCCCCCCCATTACCCACCCCTTCAGTGAATGAAAGATACACAGAATGTGTAATGTCTAAAATAATTGAAATACATAATTCATTAGATGCAATATTTATGACTTTTTCTGAGGTGGACAATAAGTTGTTATTTAATCTTTCATACATATAACAAAACTGCCTCAGAGAGCGGGGCCTTGGATTAGGGGCCTGCTTGTGATACAAGGATGGGGCCAGGACTATCAGAGAGTGGAATGCTGCCTTCGGAGATTATGGAGGCTGGCAGCAGTGATGCAGAGGACTCCGAGGGACCCTGTGCCCAGTGCGCGTGCACGCAGGGCTGCTCGAAGGAAAGAGCAGCAGCAGTAGCATGGGCAACTTGGGAGTAAGGCTACAAGATAATGGCCCTTCCCTTAAGAGATAAAAGCCAGCCTGAGAGACCGGGATTCTTTGCAGGAAGCAAAGAAGTTCTTGCACTTCAAGCCTTGTGGACATTCGGACTATCCTGGTTTGTGTTTGGAGACTTTTTGTTTTGAATAGTTCTTGGCTATTTAATCTAGTGTTCTTGGCAGCTTTGCACAACCTTGGCAAGGCTCGTTTTTATCAGAGACAATTAGTTTTCATAGCCTTTTAGCTGTGAATGAATGGAATTCGCAGAGAACCATTAAAAGGTTTTGTTTTTACCTCTGTTTATATTCCTGAAACAAGGTTTGGGTCAGAACACTACTTTCAATTTCAACTCCACTGAAAGTGAAGAATAATTCTAATGACCAACTTAGGATACCTAGCCATCTTTGGTAAAGCAAAACCTATTTTAAATGCAAAACTTTTCAATTAATCAACCAATATAAGCAGTCCTCAACTTACAACCATAATTGAGCCCAGAATTTTGATAATAAGTTATGCCAATCATTAAGCAAATTATCTCAGGACTGTGCCCGATTTTACATTGGTCATAAAATAAATGCTGTAGTCATAATGTGAATGCTATAATCATTAAGGGAAACTCTGTCATTAAGCAAACCCATTGTCTGCAATGGGCTTTTCTTTGCCAGAAATCAAAAGTAAACTCTGGTTTTTTATTTTTATTTTTTTAAAAAAATTGTAGCCACAATGCTACAATGGATGTTGCAAACGGCCATAAATGTAGCCCAGTTGCTATGCACTCAAATTGCAATCATGTAACCGTAGAAGGGGCAGGATAATAATTTTTGGGCCTGTCACAAATTTACATGGTCACTAAGCAGCTGATTATAAATCTAAGGGTCCTTTAATGCCCTGCATGAGTTGTCAAGCATATGAATGTTTAGGTATAACCCATACCTATTGGAAACAAAGTTTTTTCATATGTTGCTTGGGTTAGGAGCAAATCTGACATGTTTCTTCATTCTGTCTTAAGCCAAAGACTACAGATAAGAAACGTACAAGTCGTTAACAGAAATCTGATAACTTGTAGAAGCTTTTACAAATTTATTTTATTTATTTATTTATTTGATTTGCCAATTGTTTACAAGATAATAAGTATAAGTGTATACATAGTTGTGAATACATGAAATGGGTACATATAAGAAAAATAAAAGAATAAGAGAAACAATAGGACAGGGACGGTAGGCACGTTGGTGCGCTTATGCACGCCCCCTACAGACCTCTTAGGAAAGGGGTGAGGTCAATAGTAGACAGTCTAAGGTTAAAGTTTTTGGGGTTTGACAAATAGTCCATTGGGTGTTCAGAATGAAATTACCTAATGGTAAGCCTAAGGAGTGAACACTGCAGGTTGGCTACACCAAATCCACATCTTCCACGTGAGCCTTAGATATGCAAAAAAATCTTTAATTAGTGATTTCTTCTATCCCAAGTATATGCTCTGGAATATCATCAGTTGGCTGATGGGAACCATTGTCTCCTGTGGGAGAAGAGATCTAGAGAAGCTGAAACATAGGAGGGGGGTTCTGTGTAATTCTGCAAGCACATTAAGGTCATGCTTGCAGGATCAACTCATTGCACCCCACTGTGCAATGTCTCCTACAGTACAAATCCTTGCTTTATTCCACAGAGTTCTTTTTACAACCCTGTAATCCCTGATTTCGGGGTGGAGTTAGGGCGACTGAATGGAACTGAGTATTTACTGGCCAAATGCCCACCCTAACACCTACATAGAGTTTGTAGCAGATATTTTCTCTTTGCACCCTGATAAAGAAATATCTCTCCCTGCCTAGGATTGAACTCTCAACCTTCCAAGTAGGAGGCAAACGTCTTCACCTTTAGACACCACCACCCCGCACCACTCTTATTCTAGAGTTCATATCCTAAACTAACTCAAGAAACTCTTAACTCTTATTTCAATTGGGTCACTCCACACATGCCAATAAAACAAACCATCTTGCTGCATTCCAGTTTTCTGGGATGGTCTGTTTTCCTACTGCAATACAGGAAATGTTGCCTTGTCATAGGAAGTTGCCTTATTTTATTTTATAAGTTACACCATTACTGTATCTAATTCATTAACTGAGCCAATATGTAGTTATTCTACAGAAACATTTCTTTCCCAAACCATACTTCAATCTAGCTATTCTCAGAGTAGTGCACTATATTCTTCTAATTTTCTTTTCATTTTTTAAAAAAATTATGTAACATAGCTAACTATCACAAAAAATTCAAACCAAAGCCTAAAATGATAGGAACATTTTTCCCTAATTGACATTTAAAATGAATTAAGTCAAGATCTATAAATGGGAATAATATGAATAAGCAGCATTTTAAACAAATTATCTCACTCACCAGTTTACTCATGTGGTTAAGGAAATGCCAGTAAGGAGGAATGCACAATATTTTTACATGGAGCTATTATTTGAATGAGGAAAACCACAAAATGTTTAACTGAAAATTTAGTAGCAAACAAAAAAAAATTAGAATGAGGAAAACAACATTTAGAAGATTAGATGTTTATATATTTGTAGCACACATTGTCAGTAAAACACAACAGAAGTGATTTATCACACAGAATATTGCAGAAAATAGAAACATCCCATTTAAATACCTAAACTCACCATTTTTCTCAGTAGCCTTAATGCTATTGCTAATATATTTGATGATGTACTTTGTCTTCCCTTTAATCATTCCGTCTACGCCAGCAGCAGGGTGTAAGAAAAAAGCTTTCCAAAGTAAAACAAATGCAAGATAAATAAATTAATACTGGGACAACTGTTTTTCAGTGGTCAAAGGCCATAAGTCAGAAAATATTTCATTTGGCATATTCTTATCTTTGGCTTTTTAAAAGAGAAACAAAAGAGATTTCTTAGTTCATACATAATACTAAACAAGCCATGGATGGAATTGCTTCAATTGACTAACTTAAAGGAGGAGGGAAATGGAAGTTATTGGAAATACTGGAATATTGGTAAGTTTATTATAGCTAAGCAAGAATTCCTAATAATACAGCATAGTCTAATGTTCAGACACAATGTTTCAGTTCCGTACATGGTAAGGAAGAGGCGTTGGTCCTACCTGAACGCGTCTTCTCTGATTGCTGCGAGAGAGTCCAAGCAAGGGTTAACTCCTTCTCCAAGCTTGAAGGACTGAGTCTGTCAAAGCTGTTAAGACCTGCCTCCATTGCTAGGAAATCCAGCTTCGGCTAAGTCAATGAAACAGACTCTACGTGTCTGTTTACCTTGGAAAAACAAGAAAACAACCAAGGACAAGGCAAGAGAAAAAAAACATCAACAATTTCCCCCTTTTGCAAGACCGGATGGTCCACAGGGTGGAACTGGACTTTCTCCAAAGCACTCCGAGAAGATGTGTTCAGGTAGGACCAATGCCTCTTCTCCATAGTGCTGCTGTAAGAGTCCAGGCAAAGGACATACCAAAAAGTAGAGTCCTATGGGAGGGCAGCCATCCGGTCCTGTGATCCCTGCTCCGAAAGTACTTGCTGTAACACACGTCTGCCGAAAGCAGTGTCAGTTTAAGTAAGAGAGTCCAATCTATAATGCTTTATAAAAGGAGGGAGATCAAATGGCCGCTCTGCAGACCTCTTCTGGCAAGGTCTGCGTGGCCCAGGCCGCCATCGTGGCAGCACTCCTGGTAGAGTGTGCTAGGAAAGAGCCTTAGATTCATAGGCTCTGGCTATACAGGACCTAATCCATCTACCCACGGTAGATGGAGAGATCTTGTTCCCCCAAGTTGCTGGTTGGAATGAGACAAAGAGTGACTCTGACTTCCTGAAGGAAGCAGTCCACTTAATATATATCCGGAGAACTCTTCTCACATCCAGAGTATGCCATGTCCTTTCCAACCTATGTTTCAGATTAGGACAAAAGTCCGGCAACACAACCTCCTGTGCCCTGTGGAACCAGTTTATTTTAGGTAGAAATGTAGGATCCAGTCGAAGGACCACCTTGTTAGGGTGAAAAATACTAGGTCCTTTTGGACTGACAGAGCAGACAGTTCTGAAATACATCTTGCCAAGGTGACAGCCACTAAGAAGGAAACTTTGAAAGAAAGAAAACTCAAACTGGCAGACCTGAGAGGTTCGAAAGGTGCCTCTGTCAAGGATAAGAAGGTAACAAGGATAACAAAGCTTTAGCCAGGTCTCAGGTGGGATACCTGTAAACTACAGCTGGACCCAGCTCCTATGATAAATCTGCGCACCATGGGTTTCTATGTCAGGGAGTCTATCTTACCACACAACAGAACCGAAGATAGACTCCCTGGCACCTGACGACAGATGGTGTTTACTGCCAGACTTTTGTCTAGTCCGTCCTGGAGGAACTCCAGGACTTGGGCTATGGTAGCCAACAAAGGGTCAATCCCCAACCCAGATGACCAGTCAGAAAAAGCCCTCCAGGTAGCATCGTAGATGCGGTTTGTTGAAGGTCGTCTGAGGCCTGAATAGTTTGGATGACCCTGGAGGAGATATGGACTTCCCTCAAGGATCTCCACTCAATCTCCATATGGTCAACTGTAGCCACTGGGGGTCCGGTGCACCAGAACCCCCTGGGAGAGGGAGATCCTGCTGAATGAATCCTCCAGGGCCGGGCCACCAACAACCCCATGAGATCTGCAAACCAGGACCTCCTCGGTCAATGTGGAGCTACAAACAACACCTGAGCCCGTTCCTCCAACAATTTCTCTAACACCTTGGGGATAAGTGGCAGGGGTGGGAAGGCATACAACAGGCCCAGAGGCCACTGGCACCTGAGAGTGTTGATTCCTTCTTCCCTTAGGGTAGGGAAGAAGAACTTTGACAGTTGAGCATTTTCCGGAGTGGCGAATAAGTCTGCGACCGGCAGGCCAAACTGGTCCACCATCTCCTGAACTAGAGATGGATGGAGCCACTACTCTGAGTGGTCCATCTTTGTCCTTCTCAACCAGTCAGCTTGAACATTGTACACTCCCAAGATGTGATATGCATTTATGAACAGCAGATGTCATTCTGCCCAGAGGCCTAACCTCTCGGCCTCTCTCATGAGAGATCTTGAGTGCCCCGTCGATTTATGTGGGCTTTGGCTGCAATGTTGTCCATGAGGATAAGGATATGAGCCCCTTCCACACTGTTCCAGAATTGTCTGAGTGACAGGAACACAACTCTCAACTCTAGCCAGTTGATGTTCCGTCCTCTGACCTTGAGCCATTTCCGAAAAGAGGTGAGCACCCCAACCGAATAAGCCGGCATCTGTTGTTATGGTCAGGTGATGAGGCTCCCGGAACAAACACCCCCTGCTGATTGCCGGGGATAACCACCAAATCAGAGACCTGATCACCCGGGGGGGGGGGGACAGTGATCCTGACTAAGTAATGGCTCCTGCCTGCCTTCTGATATGGCAGGAGGAACCACTACAGTCCTGGAATAGGTCTGAGCCCAGGGAACTATGTTGAGGCACGACACCATCTTCCCCAGGAACCTTGACAAGAGGTCACCATTCTCTCCATCCTTATCTGTTTTGCCATTGCCTGTAGGTTCATCAGGCAGTCCTGGGAAAGGAAAACCCTGCAAGAAAGGGTGTCTATTACTGCCCCCAGATGCAACAGCCGGTTGGATGGGACAAACTGGCTTTTTTGATGTTTATGGAGAAGCCATGGGCCTGCAGGACCTGAATGGTGAGTTGCAGATCCTCCCTGGCCTGGGGTTCCAATGATGACTGGACTAATATGTCATTCAAATAACATTGCAATCTCACTGGGAGAGATCGAAGGCTGCCAGGATTGCCAAAATCTTGAAGACCCTTGGAGCTGATGAGAGACTGAAAGGAAGGGCTTTGTATTGATAATGCCGACCCTTGTAATAAAATAGAGGAGCCGACAGTGAGGGGCCCAAATGGGGATGTGAAGGTAGGCTTCCATCAAATCAATAGATGTGAGGAAGTCGCCCTCTCGAACGCTCTGAAGGATGGAACACAGTGACTGCATCTTGAACTTTCTGTATGCCACAAAGATGTTGAGACGTTTGAGATCCAGAATGTTGAAGCCATAGCATGCACCAGGCCGCTCCAGAGGACGCCACCGCCTTTGAAGCAAAGTGAGTTGCATTCAGAGTGGCATCTGCTGAAAACTCAGCAGCTGCCACCGTGTTTATGTCCTGATGGACACGGACATCTCCGGGCAGAATCCTCTCCTGGTGAAGAATGAAGCTGCTGTGGACGCTCTCACCGTCCAAGCAGCTGCCTAATATGAACACTGAAGAATCTGTTTGGTCTTTTTGTTTTCAGTCTTAAGCGCCTCCTCTGGCTCAGCTGGTAAGGTGCAGGAGGAGGCCAGCGCAACCACAGGTGCATCTACAGTAGGCAGTTGAAGTGCCGAATCCATATCAGTGCTTACACTGTAAAATTTTCAGTCGTTGTTACTAAGGGAGGGACCTGATATTGGAGCAGAGCACTGTTTACATATGACGTCCAGGAATAACTTTGGTGATGGGATGATGTCCATCTGCATAGTTGGTTCTACAAAAAGAGTGACACATGGAGCAGAAATCTACTGAACTGTCTCTGTGCTGGAAGAAGATTCCATGCAGGCAGCATTATTGGCCTTAGGTAACAGGGATTTGAATAATGTGGGGCAGAAAAGGCTTCTGAAGGTAAGTAATTCTGGTTTAAGGCCCTCATCCTCAGAAAGGTCCTGATCTCGTACCTCACCTTCTTCTGAAACTGAGGACCCACTATGCTCCAATCGTCCCCTTGCATGTTGTTCCTGTAGGCCTTGTAGGTCAAAACTGACTTCTGATAATCTTCCATCTTCGTCCAGAGTAGTTGGAAGGGTTTCTGCAAATTCCTGCCTGATGGTTTGGGACATAAGCTGTCTGATGGCAGGGGAAATGTCTTCCCACTCTGTGTGAAGGCCTGCAGCAGTAGGAGTATATGAGGCCTCAGCAACAGGCCTCTTTCTAGGGATAGATTGTTGCAAATACCACCAATTGCCATTGCTATTGCTATGGTCCCAGAGGCAGATTTGCTCCCTTCCCGAGTAGATAGAAGAGCCTGCTCCCTTGCACCATCTGGAGACAGATTCTGGCAACCAGGCCTCTCTCCTTGAGAAATTGGAGACTGAGGGAATTTTGGAGGGAAATTTCCTGAACTTCTAAAATGGAAGAAACTGGTTTCTGTCTCTTCTTCTCCTTCTGGCTCCTGGAGATGAGCTTTTCCAGCCTATGCCTCCTTTCTTCCGCTCTGGATGGCTTCCTAGAGACAACAGCTTTGGCCTTTAATTTTTTTGCTGATCCTCTGGCTGCTGACTGGAAGGTTGAAATCACCCTAGAATGGGTCCTTCTTTCAGGGAGAGTCTGGGCCTTACTGCCATGTTTAATTCCTCTTCTTTTCCTTTTTCTTTTTAATTTTATCTATAATCGGTTAATTCACTGAGGAGCCTGCCCCAGTTCACCCAGTAAGCCTGTTTGCTGGGCCCAAGTCCAGGGGGAAAAGGGGCCTTTCAACTGGGCCTTCTCCACATTGAAATGGAGGCCCGCCATCCATTTTCACTCACCGCTGCTCAATGGCTCCTGATTCTTCTATGAGGGTGGGGCTCACTGCTGCTATGAGTGTGCAGCCTTGGCTGCCTGGGCTCGCAGCTACTCCAGCCGGTCCTGCCATGAGGTGTGGTATCCACCACGGTGTCTGTAGGCTGGAGCTAAGCTTCCCACAGCTTGATTCCTGTGGAGTGATGTTCC